GGTTGGAGCTGGGGTTGGAGCTGGGGTTGGAGATGGGTTGGAGTTGGGAATAGAGGCAGGATTGGAGCTGGGCTGGAGCCAGGGTTGAAGCTGGGGTTGGAGCTGGGATTGGAACTGGGGTTGGAGCCAGGATTGGAGCCAGATTTGGAGCTGGGGTTGGAGCTGGAGTTGGATATGAGTTGGAGTTGGGAATAGAGGCAGGATTGGAGCTGGGTTGGAGCTGGGTTGGAGCTGGAGTTGGAGCAGGGCTGGAGTTGGAGATGGGTGGGAGCTGGGGTTGGAGTCAGGGTTGGAGCTGGGCTGGAGTTGGGAATAGAGGCAGGACTGGAGCTGGGGTTGGAGCCGGGGTTGGAGCCAGATTTGGAGCTGGAGTTGGAGCACGGCTGGAGGTGGGGTTGGAGCTGGGGTAGAGCTGGGTTTGGGTCTGGTTGGTCACAGATTTAAGATCTGATGACCGCACAAAAGACAGAGCCCCAGGTAAAGGGACAAGGGGACATTGTCTGGCAGCTCTAAATGGCAAGGGCAGCAATCTGGGAGCCCCTGGATGAAGCTGGGTATTTCCTGGCATTTGGAAACGGCCCAGACTGTGCCAGGGGAGGCTGAAGTTGGACACTGGGATCATTTCTTCCCAGAAAGGGCAGTGGTGCAGTCCCCATTCCTGCGGGGATCCAGCAGCACTTGGCACTTGGGGACGTGGCCAGTGGTGGCCTTGGTGGTGCTGGGGAATGGTTGGACCTGATGACCATAGAGGGCTTTTCCACCCCAAACAATTCCATGATTCCCTGATTTCTGTTGCTGGGTGTGCCTGGCAGGGGGTAGAACGAGATGATCTGCACAGCCCCTTCCATCCCAAACCATCCTGGGGTTCCACAAGTTCTCTCAGAGCAGAGCCGGAGCGACAGCACAATCTGCTCACTTGGACAACTTCAGTATCCCAGGATCCTGGCAGAATCCCACGTGCAGCCCATTCCACAGGGAGAGCTTTTCCTCAAATGACACCAACTGGAACCCCAACTTTCTTTTGTTGGTAACGAAGGACAGAGCGAGCGCGCGCAGAATAAATAAAAACACCCGGAGAAAAGGATTGCGAAGGATGTCAGGAAGGGCCGAGCGCTCCGTCTTAAATCCGTGCTTGTGACAGACAGTGGATTAAACAGAAGATGAGTTACAGCTCCCCAGAGCACGGCAGCGCGAGTCCCCCCGCGCAGGCAGCGTGACAAACAGCCCCTGATACGCAGGAATAAAAATAAACCACGGCTGAGATCAGGGCAGGCGCTGCTGCTCCTATCTGCCACGGAAATCAGCTCCAGAGCTTGGGATGGGGATTTGGAATGCATGGATTCACTGGCATAAAAACGAAGAAACCTCAAAGAAAAAAAAAAAAGGAGAGTTTGTGGAAAGCGCTTTTTTACTCTGGTGAAATGGTGAAAAAGGACATGGCCGCTCCAGCTGTTTCCAAAGGAAAGAATTCCCAGGAAGGTGAAAAAAATCAAACTCAAAGTTGTTTCCAGAAGCACAGGAGGTGAGCCATGCAGAGAGGACTGATTCTGAGAGGAGACCTGGAATCTTACAGAGCATTTCCACCCCCTCCGGACCTCCCCAGGTACTCAGACAGGGACGGAGCCGTTTCCGCTTCTTCACTTAAGTTACACCATGAAAAATCACAAGAGAAATCAGGAAGTCATGGAATCGTTTGGGTTGGAAAAGCCCTTTAAGGTCATCGAGTCATTCCCCAGCACCACCAAGGCCACCACTGGCCACGTCCCCAAGTGCCAAGTGCTGCTGAATCCCCCCAGGAACGGGGACTGCACCACTGCCCTTTCTGGGAAGAAATGATCCCAGTGTCCAACTTCAGCCTCCCCTGGCACAGCCTGGGCCGTTTCCAAATGCCAGGAAATACCCAGCTTCATCCAGGGGCTCCCAGATTGCTGCCCTTGCCATTTAGAGCTGCACAGACAATGTCCCCTTGTCCCTTTACCTGGGGCTCTGTCTTTTGTGTGGCCACCAGAGCTCAAAACCCTGTGACCAAACCCCTGGGCTGAGCCTGGAATTGCCTGGAAGCGATTCCAGCTCCATCTGTGGATTTGCACCCACAGAGATTAAAATCACGGAATCCTGGAATGGTTTTGGGTGGGAAGGGACCGTAAAAGTGCCACCACCGGCAGGGACACCTTCCACTATCCCAGGTTGTTCCAACCTGGCCTTGGACACTTCCAAGGGCTCTGGGGCAGCCACAGCTTCTCTGAGAATTTTGGCTTCCCAAATTGCTCCGAGATTTTCTTCTGAAAGCCGTTTTGAGAGATCCCAGAAGAATTTGCTTGGAAAGGGAGTGCCAGAGGTTTTGCAGCTGGAGTGCTCCAGCACCCTCTCCATTCCAGTGCCTCACTGCCCCTCTCCAGCCTGGCTGACGCTGATCTGGGATGTCAAACACACCAGTGCCAAGGATTGGGGCACTTTTCCAAGGAATTCTCCTGGATGCTGTGTGCTGAGAAGGGGCTGGTGGTGTGGGAGCAAGGAACCTTCACCTTCTCCCCACCAGTTTGTCTCAAAGCAGCTGAAATGAGGTGCTGAAAAGCAGCAATTTGCTTTCAAAAGCAATTTACTTGAAATATCCTCATTTTCTCTGGGAAGAAGATTCCGGGGTTACCCAGGAGCTGATTTTACTGCTGGCGTTGAGGTTTTTTGCTTTTCTTTGCTAAGCAGGTAAGGCTGTGAAGCAGAAATCTGACACCCAGCAGTGGGGCTTTATCCCCATCTCAGAACCCTTTATTTTCATTCCACATCATCTTCCCTCCTCTAAATTTCCCTGACAGGTGCTGGCTAAAAGCAGGAGCGGGGAAAAGGCGGTTTTCAGGGTTGGAAAGATCCCTCAGCAGCTCCTCAGCCGGCTCAGGGTGTGACTTCTCACACTTCTCCATGGAGCTGTGGCGGATCCATCCTGCCTGGTGCTGGGTCAGAGCTCTCCCCGAGGGCGGGACAGGGGCTGGGAGCAGCAGCTGAGGGTTGGAATCGCACCCGTTCCATCCCTGCCTCGGGAACTTTTCACACATGGCAGCGGAAGGAAATCTGCCGGCCCCGGGAGCTCCGACGCCTGGCGGTGTAACGCGTCGGGTGTTCCAGCCTGGGAGCTGCCACCTCCCAGGATGTCTTGGCATTTAGAAGAAAAGTCCAAACTTTCCACTCTTTTCCAGAACTGGATTCTTTCAGCCTTTCCCAGCACCTGCGCCCAAAGCTGGGTGAGGGGGTCTGGTGACTTTGGGAGGTGGAATTCTTCACCCGTGGAAGGGCAGGTGGGACAAAGGGGGTTAAACTGAAAGAAGGGGAAGCTTGCATTGGATTTTAGGAGGGAATTCCTCCCTGTGAGGAGCTGGGATGGAATTCCCAGAGAAGCTGTGGCTGCCCCTGGATCCCTGGAAGTACCCAAGACCAGTTTGGAGCATCCTGGGATGGTGGGAGGTGTCCCAGCCATGGCCGGGGTGGGCTCTGAGGTCCTTCCAACCAAACCATCCTGTTAATATCCACGATTCAGTGGTGTGAGGTGACATTTTGGGTCTCTGTGTCCGGATTTTCCCCCTCTGGAGCTGCAGGTCTCCAGGTTCTCCCTAGAAGGACTCCCAGATCCAACAGCACTGAACCATCCCAGCTGCCCCGAAGGGTCCCAAAGGCGCAGCATTCCCACCCAACCATCCCAGGAGGTCATCCTTCTTCCCCTGGATCATTAGAACACTTCCCAGCTCTGAGAGCAGGACGTGGAATTTGGGGAGAAACTTCCGGAGGCAGAAGAGCAAATCCTCTGTTTCTCCTGCTCCTCTCTTCCCACCTCTCTGGGAATGCTGCTGGAGGAGAGCTTGTGGCAGCTCCTCAGCGCTCATCACGTAAAACCCACCCAAAAAATGTTCAGGAAGTTTGAGGAACTGCCAGCGCCTCTTTTAAAACCAGAGACTGGGATTTTCACAGCTGTAAAGGAAGTTTATGCACCTAAATTCCATTGGGTGGC